ATAAATAAATAAATAAATAAATTTTTCTAGGCACTTGTCTAGACCTGTGCTTTCTGAGCCATTCTGGGGATAGTCTGTAGGGAGATAGGGTGCAGGACAGGGAAAGATTCAGTGCCACTCTCTCATCCGCAGGTTTCCCTTTAAAAAAAGTAATTTCTTGCCAACATTTTTCAGAAGTGGTTTGCCATTGCCTTTTTCCTAGGGCTGAAAGAAAGTGACTGGCCCAAAGTCACCTCGCTGGCTTTGTGTCTAAGATGGGACTAGAACTCACAGTTTCCCAGTTTGTAGCTGAGTGTCCTTAACCACTATATCAGTGTTCCTCAACCGTAGCAACTTATGTTGTCTGGATTTCAACTCCCAGGATTCCCTAGCCAGCAATTCTGGGAGTTGAAATCCAGACATCTTAAAGTTGCCAAGGTTGAGAATTTTTGCACTATATCAAACTGGCTCTTGAATATAATCTTAGACAATCTTAAATATTCATATTTAAATCTATTATTTCCATTTTTGTCACATCTTTGGTCATATCATACCTTTGGTTTGATTTAGCATGGCTTCTTAGTGCTAATATTTCTCAGCCAAACCGCAGTGTAGAAGCCACAGTATGTGAAATGCCCAAATTCATATTTGGAAAAATGTTTGAGAAACTGAATCTGTAGTCAATCATATTTTTATGCATAAAATAAGCATAGCAGCTGAAATGAGAATTGTGTTTGGATAAAGTATCTGAATTTGCACATGCACAATAATTTAACCACCCCTGTAAAGCTGGTAGAACAACACTGCCCTTTGCAATTATTCTTGTTGTCTTATTATTATCCTCAAAAATTCAAACAAAGCAAGAAAAGTGAGTATATCAACAAGTGTGAATTAATATTTAAATTAAAAATGAAATAAGCCAATATTTTATATATACTGTTAAGTTGGGCTATGTTTTAAAGCTGGGTTTGTTTTATTTTTCAGAGTTGGTTAAAAACCTATGGTTATCTGCTTCCGTCTGATACAAGAATGTCTGCTCTGCTCTCAGGAAAAGTTATGCAGTCTGCAGTCACCACTATGCAGCAGTTTTATGGCATCCCTGTAACAGGAGTGTTGGATCAGACCACTATTGAGTAAGAATGGTTTCTGCAGATACTTGAAAATAATGTCCTTGCCCAAACCATTAACTATAGCAGCGTGAAACTAAAATATGAGCCTGATAAATTTGCTCGGCATATGCATATGCTCTAAGAGTGAATATGGTCTGAAATCTGGGTCAGATTGCCAACCATGCCTCTTTTATCACTTAGATCAGTGTTTCTCAACCTTGGCAATTTTAAGATGTGTGGACTTCAACTCCCAGAATTCTCAGAATGGGTTGATGTAAGTAATTTCACATCCCAAAGAATTCATCCAGGGATTTGCACTGATTTAACTAAATTGGTTTAGCGGGTATTGCATAAGTCATCAGGTAACATGACAACAGAAATGGTTTGCTCTATGTAATGGCACTATCTTGATGGCCATTCATGGGTTTTAAAATGTTGTTCTATCTGTGTATAGGTGTTACAATCTTATACTATAGTCATTCTGTATTCAGGTTAGTCCTCGCTTAGTGATAACAGTTCCGGCAGTCTTGGATGTGGTCGTTAAGCAAGGCATCACGTGGCTGTGACTTGCAACTTCCTGCCAGCTTCCCCCATTGACTTTGCTTGTCAGAAGCCAGCTGGGAAAGTCAGAAATGGAGATCATGTGACCACAAGATGCTGTGACCATCATAAATGTGTGATGGTTGCCAAGCACTCAAATCATGATCATGTGACTGTGGGGATGCTGCAACAGTCTTAAGTGTGAGAAATGTCATAAGTCACTTTTTTCAGCACCATCGTAACTTAGACAGTCACTAAATGAATGGTCATTAAGCAAGGACTACCTGTACACAGAAGAACTATGTGCACAGAACCTGGTATGCACAGGTCCCATAAGTATCTTTTTTTTCTTTTCCAGCTTCCAATATATAGTACAGAAGTAATTCTGTGATTCCTAAGTACATTGATGCTCTCAGCACTGTGGAACCTAGATTACATTGCCTTCCATTGCGACCTTCCTGTTCTCTCTATAATTTCATCCACTGAAAATCCATTATGGAGAGAAACATGGACTGGTTGCTCAGTGTTATCCATCTGAAAATATTCTAAAGTTATAATATGTAATAACTGTAACATACAGTTAAACAAAGCTCTCTACTGCCATACATGTCTGAAGTTCCAGAGATGGAGTTTTTCACTTTCCTTCTGGAGGGAAAAAATCTTGAGCATAGCTGATACTCTTTAGTCTGCTTCTTTTTTTTAATAAAAGTTTGAGCAGATCTGACAAATTACATTCATATCTGTGATGTTAATTCTAAAAAACGTTCAGTCTCCAGATTAAAAGCAAATCTACTACTGCCTAGCAAGGAGGGTTGTGCAGGGTTCACATTCAAAGGGGAAAATGTGTTTGGGAGCATGTGTGAACACACATGTAGCACCTGAGGGCAACTCTTTGAACCAAAGGTAGTTTTTGTGGCATTGCACTGCAGCTGCAACCCAGGAAAAGACACAACTGCTTTAAGGAGTTGCTGATTGGTGCTGGGTGAGTACCCCATGTGCTCTGAAGCACCTTTTCCCCTTTGAATCCAGAGCACTGCGTAGTCCTGTTAACTAAAGTGGGGCAAAAACGTATTTAGTCAGCCACCAATTGTGCAAGTTCTCCCACTTAAAAAGATGAGAGAGGCCTGTAATTTTCATCATAGGTATACCTCAACTATGAGAGACAAAATGGGGGAAAAAATCCAGAAAATCACATTGTCTGATTTTTAAAGAATTTAAAGACAATGTGATTTTCTG